AGCTTAAGAAACACCAGCACACTGTTACAGGGGGTCTTACAATATCCTTAAAGACTCTCCCTCCTCACCCCTTCAAAACCACTCAATAACCTGCCAATTATTTGTCTCCTAATTATTTTCTGAATTGGTTGCCCCATCTTCTTTCTGACTTCAGCTTTCCACAAGGAACCTCTCTGACCGGGCACAGTGGCTCGGACATGTAATCCCAGCACTCTGGGAGGCTGAGGTGGGCAGATCACTTGAGGTCAGGAGTTTGACACCTGCCTGGCCAACATGGGGAAACCCTGTCCCTACTCAAAATACAAAAATTAGCTAGGCATAGTGATGGGCATTTGTAATCCCAGCTACTCAGGAGGCTGAGGCAGGAGTTGAACCTGGGAGGCAGAGTTTGCAGTGAGCCAAGATTATGCCACTGCACTCCAGCCTGGGCAACAGAGCAAGACTCCGTCTCAAAACAAAACAAAATAAATCAAAATGAACCCCTCCCTCCCTCCTATATGGGTGACTACCATAGTTTCCTCAGTGGTCTCTTTCTCTCTCTCTTCTTCTGGTCTTGGCTCCCATCTATGTCCTTCACAGAGTAATGGCAGAGCATTAATTTTAACAACAAACTCTCATTTTCTCACCCAATCCCCTTCCATTGCTCACACTGACTAAAGACAACCAAAAGTCTTTCACATGACATCTACCTGGCCTCTGCCCTCCTCTCCACCCTCACTCCTTCATCCTCTGAAGAGATGCCTATGTCCAGTAATTTCACGCTGCTTGTCATTGCTGCACATGAAGGCTTTTCTCACTTTTGCATCTTTTCTTGTGCAATCATTCTTTCCTGTCATTTTCTTTCCCACATCCTTCATCTGATTTTTTAATTTATCCTATTAAACCACAAGCAGCACCTCTTCCAGGAGGCCTCCAGGACACCCCAGGTGAGTTCCCTGTCTCTCTGCTTCCACAGCAGTCGTTACTAATCTTTACCATAGCACCCGTAACCCTATTAAATCTATGTGTGGGTCTTTGCTTTACTGTAACTGTTCCAAAGTCAGGAAGAGATCTTTCCTATCTTTGAATTTTCAATGCATCTTGGCATCAAACTTCTCTGATGTGGCAGAGTGGGGTGGCTTATGCCTGTGATTCCAGCACTTTGGGAGGCTGAAGCAGGCAGACCACTTGAGGCCAGGAGTTTAAGACCAGACTGGGCTATATGACGAAACCCCGCCTCTATTAAAAATGCCAAAAATTAACTGGGTGTGGTGGTGTACACCTGTAATCCCAGCTACTCAGGAGGCTGAGTCATGAGAAGTGATTTAACACAGCAGGGAGAAACTGCAGTGAGCCGAGATCTTGGCACTGTACTCCAGCCTAGGTGACAGAGTGACACCCTGTCTCAAAAAAGCAAAGCAAAACAAACATAAACTTCTCTGAGGAGAGAAGGCAAACCTTTTAACAGGGTTAAATATTAGGTAATATAATTTAAGGTTATTGACATGATGTTAGTACTTCCGGTGTAGCTGTCTGCTCTTTTTAATTAAGAAATTTTTTATTAAACAGTTCTTACTAGACATCTCATTTTGAACCAAAAAGCAAAAAAGAATAATATTGAAAAGAAGACAGTCAAGTTTTAAAAGGAAGACACTATTGCCTGTTCCTTGCAGAACAGACTTGAGCAGTTTCAGGATACTGGGAGTAACCTGCTGTGTAGAAACACAGAGCTCTAGACCACATGGCATCTAGGAGGAAACAACACTCCTGGGTACTAAGGACAGAGGGAAAAACAAACCCCAAACTTTTAGGTTCTGCTGTCTCCAGTGATGAACTCACTGCTTGTTAGCCTGAGCTCCCAGGTCTGGGTGATGCATTCCACGCTCCCTCATTCCACTGGGCACCACTGAGTGTTTGAACAGACATGGCCAGATGTGGTGGTTACACCGCATTCCAGAGGCAGGATGGCATTACATTGTATTCTAATGGCTCAGATACGTAAGCGTGCCCCACCAAACACCTCACTTACCAGAAGGAAAGCAGTTACACAGTAGGGACCACTCTTCATTAACCAGCGTGAGTTAAAGGCTTTTCTGGGCACCTGTGGGTTGAGACGTTCAGCAGCTATTCAGACAATGGCTTTCCAAACAACACACATCTTACTCAACCTTTGCAAACGAGGGCCAACCGAATTCTGAATCTGAGGAGGAGTTGAGGTTATCCATTACAGTCATCCATGTGCTTGCTTGAAAAATATATTGCTGTGTGTGCAGGGAAGGGCTGCATGACTGGGCATTTAATGTGATAACCATTTGTGCTTTGCAACGGCAACACAAAAAGCAGCTTTTTAGAGGGTTTGCTGGTCTCTGATGGTTTCACAAATATCAAGGATGACATTTCCATTAAAAATGGCCCAAATACTTTCATGGCATTTTAAGAACCTCAGACTTCAGAAAGAAGCCAAGATGTCTCTCTGTCACTTCCGGTTGACCAGCAGACACTGTCAAAGGCAATAGTATCTAAATGGCTACAAGATGTGATCTGATTTCATACACTTCAACTGGTGATTCTAGAAATGAAACACCAAAAATACTAATAACACTTTTCTGCTGAAAATGAATATATACAGTTATATTCCCCTGTGTATTGGTAAATTGTTAAATTTTTAGGAGGCTTAATACTGTGTTATCTTTAATAGAAACAGCAATTACAATAATGGGCACTTGCATAACACATCATGTTTTAGAATGTACTTCCTCACATTCTAATTTGATCTTTATAACGCCTCTGTGAAATAGAGGCATTCCATTATTTTCCATTTATTCTACAGATTGGGAATCTGTAGATAAGTTATGTAGAAAAGTTAAGAATCTGCACTGAATTTCTGATCCTTGATGATCGTCTAATTTTGAGAGGCATGGATGTATGAGGTAGAAAAAATCTTGGCACAAAACTTTGGTGTAAGAAAACGTGAAATATTAGATCCTCATACATATATTCTGCTATGTTAGTTCGCTAAGAAAGTCACAATTCAATCTCTAGGATCTATGACAAGAAGAACACCATGTGGTTGATCAAGAGGACTGAGTGAACTATTCTGAAACTTAAATATTTCATCATAGATATTGGTCATGGATAATGAACACAACTAGCCGCTGAGAGCAATAAAGCTCAGTGGTGCCCTGGTTCAGGAGCCACAGAAGATTCTGGAGTTTTCCCAGTGATCTTGGCACTGTGCAAAAGCTGTGATCAGAGCGATAATCACAGAACACAGAAGAGGATTCAAAGGTGAATGGTAACGTGAAGCAATGGCAAGCTAGGATTTGGGCTTGGTTTTGCAAAGCTCTGCTTCTCTCAATTTCATGTACTTAGGAAGCACACCTGGATCTTGTTAAATTCAGATTTGAATTCAGCAGATCTGGGGGAGGCCTACGCATCTGCATTTTTTGTAGGCTCCTAAGTAACACCATGGCTACTGGTCCACAGACCAGCTTTGAGTACCAAGATTATAAACAACCACACCAGGAACCTACCTTCCCTCTAACCGCAGTTCAGCCACCTCTACTTCTTGACTTACAAATCCCAAGAGCTAGCATATGGGATGGGAATGGACTATTCACCACTGCTTTATTTTACCAGTCATTTATCATCACCCTAGAGAAAATATGATTTAGTGTCTGCTACTCAGATGCCATTCTAATTCATTGCAGAGAGAGAAATACAAGTCGTGGACATAGAGGCTGTGTATCCACAATAAACACGTTTCTAAAATTCAAAATCGGCAGTCAAGATATACAGGTATTTCTGAGAGATAAAGCTGCATCCATCATGCAAAGAGGTGACCAAAATATTTCCTTTTTTTTTTTGGTTTGTTTAGAAAACAGTACAATAGATCCGTGCCTTTGCAACTAGGAGAACCCTTTCTTGGACTATGCTCCCCTCAGCTCCAACTCCTAGTTCAACACATGATTTTACTCACAATGGCTCTGTTTACAAGTGGCAGAGCTGAGTCACAGTGATCTCTGCGGCCACACGATACATTTTTCTATATATGTGGATACTCTAATATATTCTTTCATGAAGATCTTGTTTTAAGATCTTCTGAGATGCTTTCCCCTCATTATTATGGACAGTAGACTTTTATTATTCACAGATTCCCTATTTGTGAATTCACCTACTAAAATTTATTTGCAAACCCCCAAATCAATACTCACTGTTGCTTTTGCAGTTTGCCAACACATGTAGAACAACTAAAAAAACCTGAGGTTGCCCAAATGCCTTCCCAGGTGAGGATGAATAGGCACAAGGTGCCGCTGTGCCTCTGTGTCTCAGTTCTCATGCAGCCAACAATGTCCTTCTAGTGGTCTATTTAGAGCTCTATTTTTCATGCTTTTGTGCCTTTTGTTAGTGATTTTACTGTTTCAAACATTACCCCTAAGAGTAATGTTGAAGTCTTATCCAGTGTTCCTAAGTGCAAGAACGCTGTGATATGCCTTTTGGAGAAAATCTGTGTGTTACATAAGCTTTCGCGAGTTATGAGTTTTGGTGCTGTGGGCCATGAGTTCAACGTTAATGCATCGACTATATACATACTATATATATTAAAGAGCTTTAATCAAGAACATACACAAAACAAGGTCATGTATTGATGAGTTGATGAAAATGTGGTGATCAGACACTCGTAGGAACCTAGGCCTGTATTTCTCCTAGCAGCAAGGATTCAGATTTGCTAATTCAGTGTTTTCAGTGACTTTATAGAATATAACTACTGTGAATAATGAGAATTGATTATAGTTGCATATATTACAACCTATAGATTCAAAGAAATCAAGTAACTTAAAATTAAGCATATAGGCTCTGAGTGCAAATTCCAGCTTTACATTTTACTACCTGGGAGCACGTCGGCTTCCATTTCCTCCTCTGCAATAATCCCTCATTTATAAGACTGTGATGACAATGTAAAGGAATTGGTGCATCCACAGAAAGTCACACATGGGGCACACTTAGAACAAGATCTGGGCAGACAGCAAACACTTGATAATATGAGCTGCCACTATTGTTTATTATTTTATAGAGCATGAAACATCAGAAATCTCCAGAAAAGTGTGTAATGTCACACAAGAAGCAGCTGAGATGAGGTAAGAACACAGTCTTGAGTTTAACACCAAATTCACAGGGGAAGCCATCCAAGATAGGAGTGAGATGTGTCTGGAACATGTATACACATGTGGCTGGCCACTGCCCTAAATATAAAGTTATGGACTGTGTGTTGGGAGGCAGGATGGGATGGGTCAATCAACAAGGGACGAGAAAAGGGGGTGCCTTTGTGTGATTGCAGCCATTTCAGGTGTCAGATCTCAGATCCCTCAGTTTTGCGGTTTTTTTATAGAAATGCCTGTGGAAACATAATGGTAGACAGGGGTGACCATAGTTCAGCATTTCAGACATATCGTCTTTTCTCTCCAGTGCTGCAGGGGTTATGCTACAAATTGAAAGATCTAGCTACACGAAAGGGAGCTGACACATTGAGCCAGGAAGTCTTTTCTTCCGCAGAAAGCTCTGATCTTCGAGTTAGCCAATCTGGAAGGGGCAGATTTGACAAGAATAATTCCACATTTTGCACTTGCGGGGACTGCAGGCAAAACAAGAGAATGAGGACCATGTCCCGAATTGAAGAGCCAGGAAAATAAAAATCCCCAAAAAAACAAATGTGAAACTGGGATAGAGATAGGAGAAATTGGACGTAAGACATCCCTGGCACTGCCTACCTCTGCCAGTGGGGTAGCTTCATGCTTGGAGTTGGGAGTGGGCTCCTTGGAAGGTACCCCTTCTAATCACTACTCTCTGCACTGTGCTAACACACGCCTTCCTTCTGATGTGGCATCCTACCCCAGTGAATGGAGCCACTGTGCTACTTTTAGAAGTAACTTCTTAAAACTACTCACCCAGTTTTGCAAGAGGGAAGGTGCTGAAAGGTGGATCACTTGCCTTCTGGTATTCTAAGAGGGGTGGCATGGATGGAACAGAGGTTTTGCTAAAGATGAAAGAGGAAAGGGAAGTCATTTCCAAGAAGAGAGCTAGTAAGATGCCGGAAGATTTTGAGTAAGTGTTTTAGGCACCCGATGGGGAGCTAAATATAAAACAAAATACTAAGTAAGAGTTTTATAAAAACAACCTGTGAAGGAGAGAAAAACAGTTGTTACTGTGGGATGGGCACCGCTTTTCTAGAAAGCACAAAGGCTTCCTTTCACTTAATGCCCTTAGCAGTCCTAGGAAGCAGGTCTTAATTCCCTCATTTTACTAGAAGAAAAACAAGCTCAGCAAAATTTTAACACTTACTCAAAATTATACAAGCCATCAATGGCAGAGAACAGATTCAAACACATTATCTGTAAGATTTGAAAGCTTGGGCTCTTTGCACACAGAAACCCTACAAAGAACAACAATAAAAGCTAATATTTATCAAGCACTTTCTAAGTACCAAACACTTCTTTACAGATTTTATATGCATCAATTAATTCAGTCTTCACAGCAACATGATTTATGCACAATTATACCTACTTCATGAATACAGAACCCGAGACTTAGAGAAGGTAAGTAACTTGTTAATAAGTTACTTTTAGAGCTCTGAGAAGAGACACATTTGAGGGACAACTGCCAGGGTTAACGAGAGATTTTTACTAACATTTGAACTGGTATTTACACAAAGTCTCGATGTGTGAGTATTTAGGAGTGGCAGGAAGATAATGCCTCATTCCTAAGACTGTGGTAAAGTATAAAGGAATTAATGCATCCATGGAAAGTCACTCATGGGGCACACTTAGAATAAGATCTGGGCAGACAGCAAGCACCCAATAATATGAGCTGTCACTATTGTTGATTATTTTATAGAGCATGAAACATCAGAAAGCTCCAGAAACGTGCGTAATGTCACACACTGAACTGTAGAGAGCGGACGCTTGATTACTGCGAGGACTCCTGTCTCCGCCATGTTGTCACTGGGAAAATGAAGAATGAGCTAAGTCAGAGCAGAGGGACTGGAGGAAATAGTACATAAAGAAGGTGAGAAAAATCAGGCCAGGTTCCTGGGAGGAAGGAGAGGACCCCAGTGTCTTTGCTGCTCAGCACAGTGGCACTAAGCAAGATGCCTGCCAGGAGCCAGATGCAGGACAGGAGCTGGGTAGGTGGGGGACATAGTCCTTGGAAAATCACCTCACTGCAAAGCCAAAGAAGTGGGTCTGAGGCCCACTCAGAAGAGGTCTCCATATTCCCAGGAACTGAAGTTTAGAAGAAAAGAGCTCGGGGCAGCCTGGAGGCTGGGAGTGCATGGAGCAGGTGCCGTAGCCTCACGCACTGGGCATAAGACCTGGAAGTCAAGGGCACAGAGAGGGCCCCAAAGGGCACCTGCTGCACGGAGCTAAGGAGTAGCATGGGGCAGTAGTCCCCTCAATGACTTGTCCCCCATCCCCTGAGGGGCCATAGGGACAGCTCAGGCACAGCCTGGTCACACGCTGGACCAAAGCTACTGAAGGTAGAAGAGGCACTTGCCTGGACTGAGGGGCTGGTGGAGGCAAGGAGAGCTGTGATCCCACATATAGATACCTGTAGCAAGGAAGGTCTGATGTTTCCCTCCAATGGGGTGGTGGCCAAAACCTGTCTTTATGCTTCCCCAAAGCAAGAGGCTTCCACCACATGATTCTACTAAAGATGGCTCTGTTTACAAGTGGCAAAGCTGAGTCACAGTGATCTCTGTGGTGAAATTGGTCAAACAATGCATCTGATTACGCATATGGATATTCTAATGTATTCTGTAACCAAGCAAGTTTGTTTCCTGTTCAGCTATCCCGATCTTGACGGAATGTCCCCTTTCTCTGACTTTCAGCTCCAGGGCACAGTTGCATCTTGTGCTGACTGAGCCATGTAACTTCAAGCACAATTTATTTTAAGAGAAAATTGCCCACCTTTTAGAGTAAATAAAGTAGAGAGCAGAACCAGGCAACTTCATTTCTACTTCCTAGTATAGCAACTGAAGAGTGAGCTTCCTTCAGCTTCAATTGCTCTTCTCAGAAAGTTTTTATTTAGCTTAATAGAAGAAAGAACAGTTTCTAGACCAAAGGGGAAGAAAATAAGACAAGGCAAGGCAAGTAAGTAAAGGACATTTCAGTTTTGACTTTTTTTTTAAATGTCCCTCCCTCTCTCTCTTCCCTGTTTTATTTGTGTTCTTACCCACTATCAATTACTATATATGTTATGAAGCATCAATATAATAGGGAAAGGCATGGTATGCAAATAACAAAAGAGGAGGAATGGAACAAAATGAACTAAAATAGGCATCTAAAGCCATTGTTGTAAATAATATATCTTATAATAAATATCCACAGGGGAGCTGGGAGATAAAAATAGCACCACTGTGTGAAATAAGGACTGTGACTTATTTTCCGTAGAAGCTGCTGTTTCTCTGACAGTGAGAATAGACGCTAACAAAGGAACACACTAAGCTTGGCCCCTTAGATGTCTTTCCTTTGTATGGTGTGTGTTGTATGTTATGTAAAGAGTTCACTTTGCCCACCTACGTGCTTGAATTTTTTTCTTTTTCTTTTTTTCTTTTTTAGGATTAAAGGAGACCATTCTACATGGAGCTGTCAGGCATCAGTCAACGTGGGTTGAAATTAACCATAGTGAGTGACGCCCAAGAGGGTTTAATCTGAAGGGAAAATGAAGACAATGTAGTCCTAAGAAGTTTAAATGATGACATAGACATGATTTATTTTCCCAAGCTTTAGTTCAAATAACCAACAGGACAGGGAAAAAAATGAAAGAATAAAAGCTTGTACATTGTATTTCCTGCTATATAGGTGTCTCAACCTAATGAGGCTCCTGGATCCTAGTTTGCTTCTGAATATCACCAGGGGTGATTATAGCTTGCAAAAGAAGACCCGAGAAAGGCATGCCTTCCTATGTCTTGGGCTGTAATTAAAGCCACAAGCCATCAGATAGCGAAGAGGCCAGCTGCAGCCCTTCAAACCTTTAGTACCCTGCCATTAAAAATAGATTACAGCACAAAATATGTACCAAAAATAATCCCAATAAAAATTTTGCACATTTGATTACTATAATTGATTTTTTTCTTCTAGATATGAATAAATGACCCAGGCTAAATGCCAGTTCCTTGCAAAGAATTTCATTTAAGCTTCACTGAATTGAAAAGGCTCAACCAGACTCAACATTTCCAACTTCCTAGCAAGTAGCAGAAAATCTACCTGACAGTTGCTATGGCAACACGAACAGGAAGAGTGAACCAACAGCCTATAAATCCACAGAGAAACCTTTCTTAATTGGAAGGCCTTTAACCCACACATTTTTCTCATAGCTGCAGAGCTTATTTCTAAAGAGATTATTAAATTCCTCAATTGACTTATGAAGGATGCTTCCCACTATATTACTGTGCTTTGGGTTGCGATTCTTTATATCTGTTTCCAAAATTACAAAGCAGACCAGGGATAATAAAAGTTAACACAGATGTTTCAGTGAAAAATCCATATGATTTTCTGAAAATAACTTCAGCGGCAACACTGAACAAAAAGGATTCCAATACAAGAACCAAGATGGTGAAGACCTGTTTGTTTCAAAGCTGTATCTAAGTCACCAAACTTCTTCACTCCCCATGATTCTGACATATTAATGCAGGTGGAAAATCCTGACAATACTTTCTAATATTTAAGAAGGTTGACCAAGTCAGAAATATGAATAAATGAGGTGTTGGGATATGTTAATTTAATGCTCACTCTTGATTTTTAAAAATGTTCTTTGCAATTTGTTAGCAAATAGTAACTAGTATGTAGCTGGCTAAGCAAGAAACAAACACAACTAAACATCTCAGTGAATTTCAGTTACTTTGGGGTAGTTGTGGTTAACAAATCCATTCTAGTAAGCCCTCACTTCATGTCATCTGTAGGTTCCTGAGAATTGCAACTCTAAACCATACTGTGTAGAGTGAAACCAATTTTACCATAGGCTAATTGACATAAACAAGTTACATTCCTGTGGCATATTTCTGGCCACAAAAACAATGCCAAACTTCTAAAAAAAACACCAAAACCCTTCTAACACTAAACATTAAACTAAATGTGACCTACATTTACATTTTTAAAAGATTCCTAATAACAAGTCAGAGAATTATTTACCCAATTATTACAGTTCAGAGTCAACCGGGACAGGACACCATCCCATCACAGGGCTCACTCACACACACCCATGCTCACTCAGATGGGGACACTTTAGACATGCATATGTCTCAAATACATACTAATAATAGCTCACATTTCTGCTGAGTTCTGGGAATGTGTCAGACAAGTTTTACATGTTGTCTCCAACGCTCTCAACAACCTGAGGAGGTAGATATTTTTTTTTATCATGCGTTCTACAAGGTTGAAATAAATATTTGTGAGTTGTTTGCATATTGACAGTAATGGAAGCCATGGGAGGGTTTCACCTAACATGTATATCATGGGTACATGAGAGCAAACTGGAGTCCCCAGAGAAAACCCACACAGATATGGGGGGAATGTACAAATTCCACACAGACAGTGACCCAAGCAAAGAATTTTTTTCTTCCCGTCAATGTTGTAGTGAAACACTGTGCAATGACATAACCACACTGGAGGACCTGCTGTGTGTGATTAAATTTTGTCACTCTGTGAAGAGTGAGGATTATGGCAGAGAGAGCTGAATATAGAAATCTACCCACGTCCACATTGTAGCTTTCTCCCCTTCCTTTCCGTTATATTAAAGAATCATCCCTCCTCCTCCTCCCAGTGTAAGCCAAGGCCCTGCTTGCATCCAGTTCCCACCCCCTTTGCCTCTCTGAGATGCCTTCCCATAGAGACCCACACCTTCTCCCCTTTTCCTTCTTCAACCTTTCCTTCACTCCTGCCCTCTCACCCTCAGTATGTAAACATGTTTTGGTCTCCTCCAACCCTAAAAACACAAACCAGCAGAGCCTCTCAATCCCATGCTCCACTTCCGTACTGCCCTCTCTTTCCTCTCTCCTTTCAGCCCGGTACTTCTGAGAGTAAAGTTGCTCTTTTCCCTGTCTCTCCTTCCTTCCTTTCTGCCTTCCCTTCAGTTCTCTGAAAGACGTTCCCACTCCTGGCGCCCACATTCAGTCCCCAGAGTGACTGTCTTCTTATCCAGCATGGTGGATGATGACACCTGCTTTCTTTATACCCACTCTTTTTCCTTTTTCTTTTCTTTTCTTTTCTTTTTTTAGATGGAGTCTCATTCTGTCTCCCAGCCTGGAGTGCAGTGGCATGATCTCGGCTCACTGCAACCTCCGTCTCCCAGGTTCAAGCAATTCTCCTGCCTCAGCCTTCCAAGCAGCTAGGACTACAGGTGCACACCACCACATCCAGCTACTGTGTGTGTGTGTGTGTGTGTGTGTGTGTGAATTTTTAGTAGAGATAGGGTTTCACCATATTGGCCAGGGTAGTCTTGAACTCCTAACCTTGTGATCCACCCACCTCGGCCTCCCAAAGTGCTGCGATTACACTGTGAGCCACTGCGCCCAGCCTCTTTTATTGATTCCGCAATAGGGCATTATCCTGGCCTGTCTTCCATCTTCTCCATTGTTCAGCCTCTGTCTCCTAGGTGATCTTCAGGACCTTCCAGGAGTCTCTTATTCTTTCACTTTGTGCCTCCCTTTGGTACCCTCAAACCCTCCCATGGCTTCCATTACCGTCAATACACGAACAACTCACAAATATTTATTTCAACCTCGTAAAAAGCATGATTAAAAAAAAAATCTACCTCCTCAGGTTGTTGAGAGCATTGGAGACAACATTTAAAACTTGTCTGACACATTCCCAGAACTCAGCAGAAATGTGAGCTATTATTAGTATGTATTTGAGACACCTTCAAGACAGTATGTGCAAAGCAGAACTGACTTCTCCTCACAGTGTTCCTTCCCATTGGTTCCTTCTCTGTAAATCCCCTACTTATTCTTTACGCACATTTTAATCACTAATTCCGCCATGAAAGCCCCCTCATCCTTCTTAATTCAGAGGCCCCTCTTAAGGGTTATCAAGGCATGCTGCATTATTAAAGTTCATATCCAACTGCATTTTAATTGTCTGTTTATCTCTAAGAAGGCAAAAATGTATATTTTTAATCATTATTTTATCTCCAGCAAGTATGTATTGAAACATAAATAAAAGTGGATCAGCACATAAAATAAACCATTAAATAGAAATCCTTTAACTTATTCCTTCATGGTTATCCTGAGAGGTTTTTGGTAACTTCTTGTTTCATCCTTCTCAATTCCTTTTATGATAACCTAGTTCGTGCCAATTAACCTTATGGAAGTGTCCAGGACTACTTTGGTTTTAAACAATGACATTGGAGAACATGAAATTTTCAAGTTATACAGAAGGTTGCAAAGTACGCTGAAAGGTTAAAGTTCTGATGCCTGCAAACGTGCAGGCATCTACACGGACAATCTTTTCTTAGCATTTAGACTGAAATCTCTCTTTCTTCTGAAAAACTTACCTGGTGTCTACTCTGATCACTAATCACCTGTAGAAAAATAGTCTTTCTCTGAAACCATTTGTTGAATGATGTGGACAAAGCCTTTCCCTGGTGAATCTATATCCAGATGTTCTTAGACCTCTTTAGGG